ATGCGGCTTCCAGATATTACGCTATGGATCGCGATAAGCGCTGGGAGAGAATATGTGTTGCTTACGAAGCTATGATAGGAGGAAAAGGCGAACCTACCACTGTTGAAGAGGTCTTCGTTTTCTAACTTTCATCTTCATTTCTTCGTTTTCCAGTGCTAATATCTCAAGTATGAGTTCATCGCATGTTCATTTCTTTAGGCGCCGGCACTTGTTCGTAAGCGCTATGCTGCGCAGGAAACTGATGAGTTTCTGAAGCCAATCATTGTGAATGGTGACAAGGGGCGTGTGAAAGACGGCGACACTCTCATTTTCTTCGACTACAGAGCCGACAGAATGAGGGAGATATCTGAGGTCATCGAAAATCATTATTTCATATGCACTCTAAGGTAGTCTTTTTTTCAGGTGATGGGTATGGAGCGATATAAAGATTGCAAATCGTCCCTACCGCATCCAAAAGACGTACAAGTGATTGGTAAGTTCTTTTAAGTTTGCTGAATCTTCGTAACTGCCAAAAATGGTATATACCTCCAAGGTATGACGCAGTACAAGAAGGAGTTTCCATTCCCTACATTATTCCCACCACTGAGCAACAAGAACGTGTTGGCAGAGTGGCTCGCTTCTCAGGTCAGTTTCGTCTTTTCTGCACGTCAAGTGTGAAAATTATTCTGATTTACATATTTTGTAAATCGGTTAATATAAATAATACATGTAGCATTAGGTTGAGATTTGGATACATTTATCTAATTAAAGTTAGGACTGAAAATTTTGATATGACTATCAGTGAAAGGACATTTTTGAACAATTGCTTGCTTATCAGAAGCGTACTTAGCCAGCAACTTAAAATCTCTTATGTGCACTAATGAACGTCTTTGAGACGTTTTGCTCTAAGAGACAACTATGCAACCCATGCATGTTCTATTATTTGAACCTATATGATCGGTTAGCAAGTGAGGTTTGCATACCATCTAAGATAGAATGGATAACAGGCGAAAATGACTTCCCATGGTCAAAATTTGAAATGGATTCATTTTTAGGGCTTGACGCAGTTTCACTGCGCAGAAACTGAAAAGTATGCACATGTAACATTCTTCTTCAATGGTGGTGTTGAGAAACAGTTTGAGAATGAGGAAAGATGCATGGTACCAAGTCCTAAGGTGAGAAGCAGCGCTGTTTAA